GACAAAGGTCATTGTATCTTGCCTTGGAAGTGGAAGCAAGCATGTGTAAACAAGCACATTGCTTAACGTACAAAGTGTACTCCTTATATGTTCGTGTTTATTGCAAAATTTTACAAGTCATTTATTCTTAGCTTCATATTGTGAGATTTTATGTTTATTTTATTTTATGTGTTAGATCTCTACAGTTCTAATTCTAGCAATAATCTTGAAACCTGGGGGTTAGCTCTGGCTCTTCTTTACTGCAATGCAGGCATGCTGACTTACCATAGCTTCAAAGAAGGTTTCCCTAGATGATTCGGGCCCATTCCATAATTATTCTTTTGATGCAAGTGAAAACACACATGGCTGTTTCTGGATCTTTTTAGATATATCTTCTTGATTTATCATAAACTTTGCCTTACCTGATGAGCATACATAACGGACATATCTTGTTAGGTATATCCTTCCAGAACTACTCAAAAAGAAAATTTTTACATTATGCGATATAAAAAAAAATTCAGACTAAATTTTTATATACACCAAAATCAGTAAGTTACTTTGAAGATGTGTGCATTATTAGGTCACATTCTAAAGGTTGTGGAGGACATGGACAAGAGCTAGTTGAAAGACAGCGGTAATATCCAGAAAGCTTGAAGAAAAGAGTACGAGCAGTGTACCTTTCAGTTAGACATTTGTGACACAGGTGATCACAACAGTGATAGAAAAGGTACTGCATTACACACACCTCCTCCTTCACACCATTTAAGCCTTTTGATCCCTTTTCATTTCTCTCTAAAGCAAATTAGCAGTATTACCTACAGCACTTTTTTTTGTACTGGTTTCCCATAGGTTACATTGGGTTCTAGGCGCACTTGAATTATTAGAACAAGATGTGACTGATTGGCTGTTGAAAAGGAAAGAGAAGAATCTTTGATTACCCAGTGTCATGACTGTAGGTCTAGTGGTTTTCCCTTATTACTTTGATTCAGTGATTGTTTGGCAGGGGACTGATCAATTCATAAGCTCTTAGTTAACAAGTCTGCTTGTAAAAGTACCAATACCTGGAAGTAGAGTATTACACTACTCTACTATAATACATATGTTTTCTCTCAAGTTTTCTGGAGAATATGCTGGTTCTTCCCCCTGTTGTGGGAACAATAAACATTTCTTTTTTGTTCTAGGTGATCTAGAGTACACTTATTTAACAAGCTATTTTTGTTACTTAGTTTCTCAGCAAAAAGCTTATCGATATAATAATTAGCAAGACCAGACCCTGGAATTTAACTCTCTTCTATTCTGATAACTAGCAATTATACAAATAACACTCCCAAGAGGCAGAAATTTCTTACAGCTAGAGAAAGAGAAACTCAGACCCAAAAGCAAACTAGAAAGTAGAGATAAGGATTTCTGTAGAGCATATAAGTATCTAAAATAGATGACCCTTTGTTTTCCTTGTTCCTGGTTCTTCAGCCTGTCAAGGGCTGAAACTATTCACCCACCTCCCCACCAGACCAGCACTTCCAACTCAAATGAACAAATTCACTCTAGACCTATCTTTCAATGCTCAATGCCATCTGCCCTCCCTCCCCTTAAAAAGGAGAACAGTAGTGAATAATTTCCCGTGTCTAGAGTGTTACTTTAAATACATTAAATTTAGTATAAATGTAAAATGAAAATCAAAGCAGATTTCTCAAAATACAAAAGCCAATGTTATTTTGACTGTTCGTTGCTGTTATTTAAAAGGACATGGTCAACATACATATTTGGAACAAGCCATATGAGATACCAGAATCGGTCTTCTACTAAAGCAACATGACACCCTTACAGACCAAGTCCTGTCTTTTGGATACTAACAGGCAACCCTAAAAACTAGGCAAGACATCCAGTTTACCAAGACATGATCTTATCCCTTGTAGATACAAATATTATTTTAAACAGGTCAGACAAGTAACATTCCACATAAATGATTCATGTACCAAACACACAATAAACTAACAAAAACAATTTATTCTATGAATGAAACATCTGGGCCCCGAATATCTGTAAACAGTTCAAACTAAAGCTGAAATTTGAACACGTTGTCCAAAGTCACTGGAATGTAAATCAAAGTTACAAAGAATCCTGCAGTTCACTGCATGTTTGTCTGACATTTCTAATCTCATACAAAATCTAAAATGTTCAGAAAAATTTAAATGAAACTACAACATTTCTGACAAGCATAACATTCAGTTTCCAGAATGATTAAGCTAACATCTAACCTACATGCAGTCTCTATAGGTCAATGAGTCCACATATATGAATTGATATGTAAATGTATTGCACATACTCTCTACCTTACTCTACTAACTGTATATGTATATACACAGGGAGTCCAAAGATTGATCTACCAAAATACATGTTTAGTGAAAATCTTTTGATATGAAATATTTTGTTTCATACTACATTGAAATTAAACATGTTTATTCTGGCTTGAACTGTTCCTTTTTTTGGTTTAAAAACTGAAAAGTCACTTTCAAAGCAAACATTTTTAATCCAGAATTCATTCAGAAGTAATGAGAAAATAATATTTCAGTATTTTTAATGATTTTTTATTTCCAAGTTAATTAAGAGGAAAGGAAGAGGTATGTTTATTTTCTCATAAACTTTAGCATATACAAAAATAAAGTGCACAACTGTAGGTGAAAAATTCAGACCTAGCAAAAACTGTTTCGATGACACTTAGGTGATAACAGGTCTGAACTGGCTCTTTCAAGATGTATTTTTCTACTACAAATATGAGATCCACCTAAATGTATTTTGTTTCTGTAAACAGCCACTTTCATAATATGAACACACGTAAATGGACAATATGGGCCTAGAATTATGGCCACATATTTACAGATTGAGAATATCTGTAATAAAATCAATTGATGTGGATTCACATTATTGTATCTGAGAGCAAATTAGACTAATTCATTGCTACTGGCCTGCTCACTGAATATTTGATTGACCTGTTAGAAATGGCTTTAAAACATTATGGGTCATAATGGCATTTTCTTAATAGCTACTTCAGTTCACTTCACATGTGTGGACATTTTTTTTAAATGAGATTTTAACTTTACCTATTATGGGATAAACCCTACCCCATCTACAAATTAGTATCTCTGGTATTAGTTGCAACTGACAGAATGAGGTTCGGTACAGCACATTCACAACAGAATTTGATGTGTTGTATTCTATTAGGGATTATCACGCTATTAGCATGATAGCAATGGGACCTTACTGAGTTCATTTTTTATGAGATTTATGAGTTCATTGTTTATATCAAGAATGCTGATTTTACCATTTAAAGCATCCATGGTTCATACATGTATTTCTGCTTAGTGAGAAAAGTGTTGAAGTCCATGACTTGTATAATATTTTTAAAGCTGTACAGTACCATACATCTTAACAATCTCAGAAGTTTAAGGAGCTGTCTCGAAGTAAGCAAACAAAGCAGAATTCATCTCTGCTCTTACTAGAAAATTACGTCTGTGAAACATCTGATTCAACGCTTATCTTTGAGTAGTTGCTTATGACAGAGGTCATTGTATGTTCTCTAATGTTTTAAAACATCAGTCAAGATAGAGCTCATAGTTAAATGAAGAGATCACAAGGAAGAAATGTTAAGGCAGAGACGTCTTAATCCATATACTCAAGGGGAGAAAAAAGTAGCCACCATTTATGACTGATTGAAGCAGGACAGATTACTGAGACACAGAAAATGTGGAAGGCAATCACAGCTTAGCTTTCCCGGCGCCTTTCATCTAAACACCACATAATACCAAACAAACATTAATGAATTAAGTTGCTTAACATATCTACAAAGTAAGTACAGTAAAGAAGAAAGGTGCTTACTTTTTTGGCAAATGTCCTAGTACCCTAAAGATGCTGACCATAAAATGATCCAAAGCAATAGTTGCAAGCCATCAAGAAAAAAATACATATACTTTCATAATCTACAGAGTGCTTTGTGAGATGTTGGGGGGAGAAAACACTCTTAAGATATTGCTGGTTGAGTAATTTTAAATTTATATGGTTTCTTGATGAAAAGAAAAAGACAAATTTTAAGATGAACGTTAATGAAAAAAAAAATCTATTTAAAAATCATCTCTATTCTTTATGTTGTTATCCATTGGTAAAATCTCCTTTTGTCAACCCCAAGAGCTCCTGAAAGTCCCATTTCATAGTTTTAGAAATACAGGACTAGTTAGAAAAAAACAGAAAAATGGAAATTCAAGTTACAATTAATTTATCTGTTCTGATTATTTAGTGTATGCATGCACAACTTTTCACAAAAGTAGTAGCTTGAATATTAAAAGCATGTCTGGACATGCTCACTTCCAGTTCTTGTAAGGCTTGGAAAGGAGGGAAAATTATCAGTGTGTAATGATTTTAAATCGTTTGTGGATACCTTCACATTGATGACGTGTGTTTGATTTCATAAAGATTTTTCTAGAATTCTCTCAATTTCTTTAGGAAATTTCAGTAAATGTAAATAAAAGAGTTGTCTGCAAGTGTGTATCCTCTAATGGAGCACATCTTTATGCAGCGTGAGAATGTCCTCTAACATCATTCCAAGCCAGTACTTGAAAATTTTCTGAAAAATTTTCTTAGCTAATTACAGTTACATATTTTCATAATTGTATTAAAAAACAACAACAGTTAAGAACTGGACTCGGACTATAACATGCCTTTCATTTCAAAGTATATACTTGCAGCTTTAAGGATTATTTTTCTTCTAATGCAGCAAATGCATGAGACTAAAGCATTTCTTAAAAAAACTGCAAAATGTTCTAACTGTAGAAAAATATCAGCGATAAAACATTATTAGAAACATTTAACATCAGAGCACCAAATTCTTGGCTTCGTCACCTTGATTCAACTATATCAAACAAGACAACAACATTTTGTTAGATCGCAGTGATAAGGTCTGTTGATGTGTCTCGGCAGAAAAATAAAATAAAAAATTACCTTTGCAAACCACTGAAACAAGTTTGTTCATTCTGTTTCTTTGCTCCTACAAACAACATGTTCGTGTTTTTAAAATAAATAAGTCATAAATAACAATAGGACTAAAACTAAATAAAATTGTATATGTGTTATCTGATTGTATACCTATCATCTTGATTATTTTTCAAAGGTTTTTGGCTCACATTTATACAAAGCTCTCTTCCATATTTGTGCATAGCAGAAAGGAATCCACAAGTCTGGGCTTTACTAGCTGCTGAAAATCTGAATCTTCAAGTCCATCAGGACTCATAACTGCTAGTCTCCGTAAGGCTGCCTAGAAAAACAAAACAACACAACTGTAATATTGTTAAGGTTTGACAAAGTCTTCGTTGCAGGAATCCATTATAACTATCTCTAAATAATAGCCAAAACTCAAAACTGTCAAATGCATCTATTAAATGACAATTTTTGGGGGTACATTACTCCAGGGACACCAGGGACAGTGTGGTGTTAAAGAACACAGAGGTGAGAGTCGGAGTACTTTGATTGTAAACCTATCTCTGATCTGCTGCACGTCTCATACTGCCTCTTTGTATCTAAACTCTCCTCTCAGCTTTTGTCTTATTTATGAGAACTATAAGCCATCTGATTCAGAAAATGTCTATTAGTGAAGTTTTATGCTATGCCCATAACAGAAATCTTTTAGATACTAGTGTAGTAGAAAGAAGCTGTACATTTCAAACCATTTGGGAACAAATAAAACTGCCAGTTGTTCTGATTATGAGGCTGCACAATACAAATTGTATTGATGTTACTATTATTGTCATAAAATCTTCCCTTCTAAGAAGTCACTTGTTTTTCTCACTGGAGAAAAATATACAATTACCTTCTAGCAACCTGACACGACACATGCAACTGGAAAGCAGGCTGGCTTTCCTCAAGAACAAAAATTGTCTTCTATTAGTAAGGTCTGATAGTTGTGATCAGCTTATCTCTGTGCTGTTTGTGAATGCAGCACTAACACAAGAGTTAACATTTAGCTTCAAAATATTCAAAAAGTAAACAACCAAGCTAAAAATACCAAACAGTACAAGCCCTCAGACTTTAGTGACAATACCTATCAGAGCCTGAAGCAGCTTATGTCTCAAGGACAATATTTTTGCCACATGTTTATCAGAAAGTGTAATCAGGCAGTTACTAAAATATCAGGAGAAGCAGAATTGCTAAGACAGACAGGCAGGTCTGTAACATCCCAAGTGATAGGCATGAATTCAAGGAATGTGCGGGAACAACTTCAATGAGACAGAAAAATCATAGTCTGGTTTGCTGCCATCACTCTCTGGCCTCTGCTCTAGCCATACGAGGTTGGCATGTATGAAGAATAACCACAGCATTTCTTATGCTCACATTCATACTGTCTTCATCCTGAATGAGTCCTGCTTAAACGAACAAAACTTCTCATGTGCTGGTACAAAGCTAGCTGTTAATCAAAGCTGCAATAACCAAGTTTTACTTTTACATTTAAAATAACATTAATACTAAAAAGCACTGTCAAACAATATTCTTCAGTCTTCATTCATCAAAACCGATCTCCTAATCCTAGATCACCCAGGTCCCCAGAGCACTTTCACAGAATGCTAGGTGAAATTACTCAGCTCCGACAGCTGGCTGGGGCTCACAGACCATGCAGTGCAGGGCCAGCAGCTGGGATCTTTCTCCTAAGCAGGGAAAGTGTTAACCTTCTGTTGGCCACTCCTTGGCTGGACACTATATTGTCTTGGAGTTTCAAATAGAAAAAAATGGATTGCAGTGAAAGCAAGAAAACTCCTTTCTTCTCCTAGGCCATTTTACATAAATATTTCCGTACATACGTGTGTGTGCAGATAAAGGGCTGCTACCCCTGTGATTCAAGGCTCATTTCAGCAAACATAGCATCATCAGAGAATGGAATTTAAGAATTACTGAAACCTTAATTTCTGAAGTGTTCCAGTGAAATTTTTTAGTGCTCAAGAATGTGAAGATGAAGCCATTTTTCCTTATGTGCTTAAATCTTCAATCAGAGGCTAAATAATTGACTCTGTACAGGATTATGCTTAAGGGGAAAGCAGGAGACCCTGGCATGAATTTAAAACATTCCGGCAATAGTTATGCATTTTGAAATCTAAAAGGGCTGTTTTTTCTGCATTTCTCAGGATAAGCATGAAAGAAAGATTAAAATGTACCTACCAGACATGCCACTAAAACAGAATCACTGTTATTTCTTTCAGTTGGTGATCTGCAAAGTTTAATTAGGCGAGGAATACCTGAGTGCACAAAAGAGTGTCAGGAGAAATAGTTTAGAAAAACAAATTCCTTATTTTGAGATGAGGTCTTTTTTTAGATGTTTCATATTTATCTTCCTTAGTAGAGATGATCTCTAACGCAAAGATGACATGCAAATACTTAAGGGACTGTCCATGAAGCTATGCAGTTCAGAGCAGTCATAATTAATAGTTGTAAAGCATAAACAAACAAAGGCATTGTTTTTACCCGCTATTGCTGTTTCAGAGTGGAAATTGTGACCTCCATTTCTTCCCTATCAATCCTCCCACATGCCCTTAAAAAACTCCGGCCAAAAGAACGTATAGCTTCCCATTAGATTTATCATCTCTGAACCTGCAGGCGTCCAAGTTTTCTGTCCACTGACAGATCCTGCACCAGGGTTTAAATAAAAGAACAGAGGAGGCAGCACTGTCAGTTGGCATGGTCTGCCACAGCTGTGTTGAGTGGACGCTGCACCTCAGGTTCCTCTGGGAAATGAGCCAGAGGTTCATTTAGCACAACCTCCTCAGTCACTCTCTGGACAGACTATATAGGGAACCTATTCCGTAAAGTGAGGCTAAAAATCAAAAAGAGCTTTCCCATGACTGGTAGTTCCTCTCTCTTAAGCCATTAAGCTAGTCATACATCCTTACAGCTGAGTTTTACAGCTGCATCTGCCACTTCAGGATCTCGGCTGAGTCGTGCCAGTGTAACTGCAGATTTCTGTTGGACTCGCTCACAAGCAGCAACTTCTGCTGAATTTCCTGAAGATGATCTTTCAAAGAGCATTTCCATTAAAAGTTGAACACCTAGAAGGATGTAAGAGCCATTGTTATCCTCTCTCCAACAAAAAACCCAGTCCAAAAAAGTAAAGAGGGAAAGAGCAAGCTAGGTAAATACAGACCAATCACTGCCCAAATAGGGCATGAAGAATGCATAAATGTGGACTGAAGTTTAGCCATGAGCATTCAGGCACATCTGATCTGTGCATAAGTTTGTCTTCACTAGGAAGCTACAGAACTTCTGGAACTAGAAAATGCATTAACTCTTCCCTCCTCCAACTTTTTCACTCCTTTACAAGTTGATATTTTAGATTTCACAAATTTATTTAGTCAAACTAAATGGAATTCTTTATTTGCTTCTAAACTAACCTGAAGGTAATCACTAACCTAAAAACCTGTAATGACATATTTCAGGTCTCTACATGAACTTTTGTTTTGAATTAAAGGAAAGTAAAACTTCTTTTCCGTTTATGTATTTTTAAGCAAACCTTTAAAAGTTCTCATCTCAAACTGTTCAAGGGTATTTTAGAATGGGGAATCCTTTAATGAGGGAAATGATGAAATTCTGCCTCTTGAAGTCACACATTTACTGTGTGACTAACTCTTCACTTCAGAAGAGACAATGTCATCCAAGTCGGATTGGTTTCATTAACTTATTGTTGCCTGTAGGAGTTGATATTATTGTAGCAGCACAAAAACAGATGAGACTGTACTGACTTCTATTTACTAGATTATTTTAAATATAAGGACAATTATGTGCTATTAGACTCCATATGCTATTAGGCATTCAGATTACTTCAGGTAGCAGCAGAGGATTTTAACTGTTAGAACATTTGCATAAATAATTAGGAGAATTAGCATCAGAATCATGCAGCTGGATAATAATCAATTGACATACAAAAAAGTCAAAGTTGAGAAGAAAACGTATCTAAACTCTCCAGGATTCAAAGACCCTTCTCAGTTTGTGAATCTGGCTTCTGACCAGTATCTGATTATTACAACATTAGGCAGGCTCAAAAAGCCTTTATACACAAGATGAGTTTCAACCCTTCTCAAAAGCCTGGGTGTAAATGCTTCTGTGTGAACTTCCATTACAGAGTGTACACACAAACTTTCCTTGATCACATTGTGCTTGACAATCCACATGTACATCTCCACCTACTGCAGTATCTAGCATGAGTTAGGCCTAGTTGGCATAGCTGTTAGTATAATTTCATGAACTTCAGTCAAGTTTCTGCTGTAGTAGAAGTAGATGAAATATGATCAAACACCTGTCCCAAACAACAAAACAGGTTTTGGTGTGCTCAAGGAAATAGCCAAACTACATAACCAACCTGTTAATCATAAAGGAGTGCAAAAGCTTCCAGGGCATATCTGGATTGCGAGTGCTAACAACAGCAAATCAGAAAACAGCAGCACAAGTCAAACAGGCAAATCACCGGCAGACTATTCTCTACCTAATCCTATAATTACAGACACCTAGGGTCCTGGGAAATGTCAGGGTTTTACCAAGAGTTTCTAGAAAAGACTCTGGGTCGGGAACCCCATATGCCTGCACCAAGAGGTCCAGGACCACCTCTCCAACCTCCAGGAACACAGGGAGCTTGGACCAGGAGCATGGCAGGAACCACCACGTGGACCTGACCAACCTCTCTGGGACTGCCCCATCCCTCCCATGCAACAAGGAGGTCATATAAGAAACCACCATGCTAACCTGTGTTGCTCCTCCCCCTCACTGCACTGTCTTCTGCATGGGACAGGGAAGTCAGGTAATTTGTAACATTGCATATATCTGTGATTAAATTTCTTCAGTATTCAGATCCATTCAACGTCCACATCGTCATTTGGTCTCAAACTGCAACATGTATCCACCTTAGCAAGGACATCAAATGCACACTACCTCTGCGCACACATGGATCGTATCAAGCAAATTAGCTGTGCCTGATCCTTGCCCGTCATATTTGTGTGCACAGAGCTCAAATATTCTATGTAGATGCTTTCTGAAACCCCTTCTCCCACCTACAATCAGCCATGTCTGAGATTCAAATGGATCCAAACTCAAATCATTCCTATCCAAACCTTAATTAAAAAAATGTGGAAGGGATATTTGTAGGACAGAAAAAGCAATATATGTGAAGCTTCACTGTAATTTAATATCTCCCACCAGAAAAAAAAAAAAAAAAGCTGTCTTACTATATTGCTTGGCCATGAATTTGCTGGTAGGTATATTAATAAGGCAGTTATGTCTTCCTGTATCCTTATCCACAGAATTATTAACCTAACTTCTCAGACTTCTGGTGGGCCTGTAACACCTAGGGTTTTTTCAACATAATGAATTTCTCATAATATGATATTCAAAGAAATGTGGAAAAAACCTGGCAACTGCTGTATAGTAATAAAAACATAATGCTTCCAAATTTATAGTGCTTCTGAATACCTGTGAAAAAAGTGACACAAAATGCAGGTATGCATAGCTCAGTATCAGATGATGTCTTTCAATGTGTTAGAATTGCCACCTTATACAATGTAATTACCAGAATAAAGGTTGTTGAAACACTTTGTACCACCTTGCTTTGTATCTATGAATGTCAAACACAGAGAGAACATCAGCAATATGGTCATACATGCAAAGTTTTCTAAAGTAGTGGTAATTTACTTCAGTTACATAGAACCATCCCAAGGACTCATTTTGCGCCCTGCAGCAATGTGCAATATGCAGCAGAGACAGCATGCAAAATGAAGTATTATTAGTGAAGCCTTTCTCCTGTACCTTGTAAGCACTCCTTTACCATCTACCCACATTCTCCACAAACAAATACAGAATATAATTCAGCTAAAATACATACCATTTCCTTGAATGATTTCTGAAGCACACTGGTCTAAGACAGACATGTTTGCCAATATTGTTACCACCTGTTATTAAAAAGAGAAGGAAATATGAACTATAGCCCTACAATTGAGTAATATTAAATAACACTGTGGTTTATAAAATTAGTATGGCAGAAATATGGCAAACCCAAAAAAATCAAAAAACATTCTTGTCTATTCCCACCTTTGTGATTTCTCAGGGGTCTTTATCTTACATATGGCTGCTGACTGAAATCCAGCCAACAAGAAAAGTAAAACCTCTTTTTCTCACACTCCTATACTCACGCATAAAAGTCTGTTATATAGAGATCTATGCAGCAGATTTGTTCAGTGGTCAAACTGGTAGAAAGAGGAAGATAAAAAATTATAAAAACCAAGCAACCAAAAAAACCCTGGAGTCCTACAAAGAATTCAGCCAGGAGCTGCCTGCCCTCAGGAACCAATCCTGTAGTCACATTCCAGGTCAGGCAGAGCTCACAGTGTAGGCTAAGAACCAGCACACAGCGTACATTCAGTAGTGCTAAGTTATTGCTACCTTTCTGCTTCAGGGTTCAGCTGAAATGTTGAGAAATCCTCGCAACAGATTTGGAGTTTTGAGCCTTGATTCAAGGGAGTATTTAAGGAATACTTTTCAGCTTTATTGAAGCCATAAGTTGCATGCATGTCAAAGTGCTGTCCCCAAATGAGCTGGATTTAAAAATCCATTTATACCTTTCCTGAGCTAAGGCCAAGATTAGGTTTTGTACCAACAGAAGCACATTTTGAGATCCTGAATTACAGAATTTCTTATCCAAAATAGCACTAACTGTTTTCAAGATTAGGTGTAACTCAGCTTGCTTAAAGTGATGCAGCAAGCCATTGACAGAGACTGGATCATGTGGAGCTGTTGGTTTTCAATCACCCATTCCCTTCACTGATATCATATACTTCCTCTCATACACCCTGCAAGATATTCTTTTTTACTTTATCCTTCAAATAACTTGCTTCCTGCATGCAAACACATCTCAATATTAACAGCATATGTGAGAGACCAAATAATAAATGTTATAGATCATTAGAATACAAAATAGAGATAATATTCTTTCTTAAGAGGTTTTAATTTTGTCTATTCTAGTTGAGAAAAACTGATCAGCCTCAAAAATAATGATCAATTTGAGAACTGGTTATCAGCTTTTTAACAGTACAGTGTCAGTTCACAAACAAGCAAACTTCTTAGATGTAAGTAGGCATGAGATCAAATCACCATTCTGATCTCACTTTGCCATTTTAATAACAAGGATGACTCATTTTCCATGCTGTGACATAAAGCTCTTCCACTTTTGAAGGTAGTGCTACAGTGTCATCTCTCTGAATAAATATACCTACTTAGGATGCAAATGAGTTGCTGAAACTCTAAAGAGTGACAGGTAGAAATATGGTAACTCAGTATATGTCTATGTATTTATGCCATATTAATTATTAACTGTGTTTCAGGCAGAGTGTATATGTTTTCTCATTCTAAATTATATCCTGTTAACGAAAATTGCTTCCTCTATGCAGAATCTGTACCCCATGTGGCTCTCTAAGCCACAGATGAAGAATTCAATTAACCACAATTTGAATACGTGCCAATTATTCCACTGCTTCAAGTTATTTTGTCTAATAAGTATTTTCATACATAAAAATATTTTGCGTGTATCTTTTGACACCAAAAATTATTTGAAGTTATATCTAAACTTCCTTTGCGTTGATTATGTGGCCCCCTATATTTTGCAATGTATTTATGAACTAGCCTTATGGGTTACCTAATGGGTAACCTTCTCAAGAGGGGTTTATAAAAGACCCTTATCATCAATAACCCTCAAGTTCTACCTATATTATCTTTTAAAATCTTAGTAGGACTTGAAAGGCAGTTAAACTATAGATTAGCTCACTCCATATGGATAGATTTTTCTTTCCCAAAAAAAGCCACATTTTCCTGTGATGTAAACAATGTAACATGAAATAGCATAATGTAAACACATAATAGGCAAGCTAATAAAGAGTTGACTTTAAATGCTATATTTCTCCTACACTTGCCTATTTTAAAATTCAGTATACATGCAGCTTACACGTAAATTTCCTCTGTAATACAGACCGAAGTTCAAGGAAGTTTAATACTAAAGATGAACTCTTTAGAGAAAAACACGAACTTAAATGTAGACTCAATTTGCTTCGAAAAGCAACACTTTCGTGAGCACTGGTATTAATGAAGTCTCATTTCTTTTGGAATTAGAGTTGATCAAAAACCATAAACAGAACTTTTCCAGTGGCAACTCTCCCACTGTAGATTTTTTTTGTCTAATGATACATAGGCTCATGCTGCAGTCTTTATCTTAGCCTCTCTTTTCCCATTATCTGGCTCCAAATTTCATAAAGCCTTAGGCAGTCTTTCAAAAATAACTGTGAAGTCTTGTTGAATCAGCAAACCAGTTCAGATGTTATTGTGAGACATGGAGCTCACAAACAGATATAGATAAAAGTGACTGCCTAAGCCTCATCGCCACCAGGCAAATAAATGAAAATTACTGGAAAAAATAGGTACCAAAACCTCTTTCAGAACTGCAATAATTTTAAAAGAATTGAAAGACTTGAAAATATTTAACGTGGAATCTCTACTGTTCAACTGCAATATTTAGTATCAATTTCATTAATTGTTCAAGACATTTCTTGTAAAAGATTACACTCCAAGATTATAAAGACTGGCACCTGAGACAATTTATGATTGCAATTTTTCTGGATTCCTAAGCTATGCAATGAACTTGTAGTCAGCTCAAAGTATGAAAAAGAAGATACCTTAAAGACAGGACACGTGAGCTCTGATCATCTGCCAGTGCTATCATACCATGCAGAAAGTCTGTGCTGAAGCCACCCACAAATTCCAGTACCCTAGTGATATCTTGATATGTGGGATCTGCAGATGTGCTATTAAGCAAAGACTGTCAGAGATTTTCCAGAGAAAAAAAAAAAAGAAGTTGCTTCATCATATGTGGACTTTTTTAATGAAACATCTGATCTCACATTCTATTGCCAAACCTAATGCAGGATTTCTAATGCAGTGGACTGCCTTAGAAACCATGTGCTGCAAGAACTAATCCCATCCAGCATAATTCCCTGCCTCAGCGCCTGTATGTCTGCTAGGCAGATCTGTTCCGGAGCTAGATCTTGATCCATGCATCTCAAATATCTCTATTCTAGCAGAGATCTCCAAGAGACTAACCCAGGCTAGTCCACACTCTGGTCTCTGTCATCCAGATCCATCAAAAATTGCAGGTGCTTCTCTACAGCAGGACTCTGATAAACCTGGTGGCTGCAGCTTTCTCTGCGGGAACTGGCAGCCCTAAAACTGCAGTAATGAACACCACAGAAAAATAGACTTGATCAACAAATAATTAACTAATACATTTGTTTTCCACCAGATGAAAGCTGAATTATTCAAGTCAGTGTCACATGATTTACACTACTAGAAACAAGCAGAGGAACAGGCCTCTCGGGTTTATCCCTGCGTTCGCCACCTAGCTGTTAATATGTGCTATGCACTACACACCTAAACCACGTAGTAGTGAGACACAAAATGCCAGGAAAAGAAAGGAAGAGAATTCTCAGACCAGCTCATGTTTTAGCACCTTTTGAAGAGACACCAACTTATCAAAATATTAACATACAGATGGTTCCACTAGGACTAGTAAGATTTTTCACAAGTCTAAGGAGGCTAAGGAGTTAACTTTCAGAGCTTAAAAAAACATACCCAAAATCAAGAAGCTTTGAAAGTTCACCTTTAAATGATTTGTTGGTGAACTAAGTATGCAGGGATATTTGCGGGGGAGGGAGGTCCCTTTTAGGTCCATAGAAAATGTCCCTATTTAATAAAGAAACTTAAAAATAATAGATATACTTCATACTTTTCAAATGTCAGTAGAGCATCGTGTTGCTAGTCTCACATTTGCCATGGAATTTAATCTAAAACTTAACTAAAAATCTCTATTTCTATAGGCAAAATAAGTAAACAGATAGTAAACACAGATACTCTGTAGTGACAATATCATCCATCATTATAAAATTGGCAGTGTTGATCTTGTTGGTTACTCTAGTAAACAAATTCTATTTTTATAATTTAAAAAGTGTTTCTAGTTCCACGTAGTTTCCTTCCACCTACCCAGCCTTTCACACATACTGAATTTATGAATGATGAACCTTCCTTTTCAGTTCTGTAGTCTGCTTTGCACTGAATCATAGGAATTTCAGTTGTCAAGAATGATTTAAATTTGAGAAACTATGGTTAATTAAGAACCTTTAAATAGTTTTGTTCAAAACTTCTTGAAGAACAGTCAGCTTGGAGATTCTCTTGCTAAAACAATGTAATCACTAACACTATAATAACACTTTTCCTTCTAAACAACTAATTGTGACTAATGTTCATTAACCAGTGCACAAAGGTACTGAACTTTTGTTGCAAAAGTGAAAACTAGATGAAAATCCTTTGTTATAAACTGAGATACATACACTGAGAGTGTAAATCTCAAGTGCTTTAGGTAACAAAGAGATTTAAACCTAAAGAGCACATAAGACACAGAAGACTTCTTTGATAACTTTCCCGTAACAGGAGATTTAAGATGATCTGAAAGTGTTTCTCATTATTGCAAAACCAGCTACTCGGAAAGAAAGATGCAATAGGATTTGGAAGATGAAAGCACACGGTTTAGCTTGCTAAAGGGGCAATATCTTCCACATTTGAGGGTCACTTACTTGACTTGGGGGAAGGGGAGGTGTCTACAGAGGTGGAAGATGTGATGTTAATATACCTTTATTGATAATAAAGGCACACTGTTCAGTAAGCTTTTATTGACAGTCCCAACAGAAATAGAAAGACACAAGCTCAAAATGAGAATTAGCAAGTAATTTAATTGAGTGGCAAAGTAGATCAATATAGAATTGCTAATTCTCTTAGTTAATTACTCCTTTAAGGCTGATTCATCGCTAAGTAAAATTAATTTTTCTACATATTATGAGTATTTTGTAATTCGTTC